ATATGAACATTCACATACAAGTCTCTGTATAAACAGTTTCATTTCTCTTGGTAAATACTTAAGAGTAGCTAGGTTTATTGGTAGGCATATTTAACACTTTAAGAAACTGCCAAACTGTTTTCCAACATGACTATACCATTTTATGAGAGTTCCAGTGGCTCCACCTTATCACTAATGTTTACTTAATATGGTCTTTTTAATTTTAGCCCCTCAGGTTTTGGTTTTAATTTACACTTCCTTCATTACTAATGATTTGGGGTATCCTTTAGTTGCTATTTTCCATGAAGATTCCTACTCAAATCTCTGTCCCATTTTTAAATTGGTTATTTTTCTCATTGTATTGTAAGAGTTCTTTTATATACTCATGTTACAAGTCCTTCATCTGATTTACATGTTGCAAATATTTTCTCCCAGACTGTGGTGTGTTCACCTTAAATGTCTTTTTGACAAGAGATAGTTCTTAATTTTGATAAAGTTCAATTTATTTTTTTATAGTTGGTACTTTTTGTATCCTATCTAAAAAATATTTGCTGAACTCAAGATCACTAATATTTTCTTCAATTTTTTTATAGGAGCTTTACAGTTAAACTCTTACATTTAGGTCTGTGATCCATTTTGAGTTAATTTTTGTGTATGGTGTGAGGTAAGGGTCAATACTCATATTTCTGCATTTGCTTATCCAATTGTTCAAACACCACTTGAAAATATTATCATTCTCCCATTGACTTGCCTTCGTATCTTTGTCAAAAAAAGAAAAGTGCAACTGATTTTATGTGTGTGATTCTATGTCTAGACTCTCTTCTATTCCACTGATCTGAGTCCCTCTACACCAACACCACATTCTCTTCATTATAACAACATTATAATAAGTCTTAAAATTAGACAGTGTAAATCCTCCAACTTTATCTTTTTCAAAATTATTCTTAGGTAAGTCTAGTTCTTTCACATGTTGATAAAATTTTAGAATCAGTCTCTCAAATTCTATAACAAAGCTTGCTGACATTTTGACTAGGTTTGCAATTTGGGAAGAAATGAGGGTTTAACTACTTTTTATCTTCCCATTCATAACCACAGTATCTCTTCTACTTAGATTTTTTATTTATTTTGACAATGTTTTGTCATTTTCAGTGAACAAGCCTTGCATATCTTTTGTCAGATTTATCCAGTCGCAATGGCATTCTTCTACTCCAGTATTCAATTGTCCACTGATTGTATTAAGAAATATCATTGATTTTGTGTTACTAGTTTGGATCCTGCAACCTAGCTAAACTAATTTGTTGGATCTAGTAGCCCTTTTGTAGATGCCTTAGAATTTTCTACAATCATTTGTCTGCAAATAAAGACAGTTTTACTTCTTCCTTTGTAATCTGCTTATATTTGCCTATTGCACAGACTGGGACCTCCAATACGCTGTTGAACAAAGGTGGTAAGAGTAGATATCTTGCCACTCCTAATCTTAAGAGAATATCATTCATTCTTTCACCATTTGGATGTTACCTGTAGGTTTTTTTACAGATGTCCTTCATCAGGTTGAAGAGGTTCTATTACTAATTTGTTGAGAGATTTTTATCATGAATGGATATCGAATTTTGTCAAATGCTTTTTCTGAATCTATTGCGATGATCATATGGGTCTCCTTTATTCTGTTAATATGAATAATTGCAGTGTTTGATTTTTAAATATTTAATCAACCTTGCATTCCTGGTTATAAACCCCATTTGATCACAATATTCTATTTGCTAAGTTTTGGATTTGATTTGCTAAAATTTTAGAATTTTTATATCTATATTCACAGGAAGCACTGGTCTGTTTATTTTTTGCAATTTTTCATCAGGTTTTGGCATAAGTGTAATATTGGCCTCATGGAATGAGTTGGGATTTGTATTCTTCATTTCTTATATCCTTCTATTTCTTGAAATAGTTTGTGTAGAGATGACACTTATTTCTTCCTTAAAAAATGGTAGAATTCACTAGTAAAGCCACCTGGAACCTTGAATGTGCATTGTGGAAGGTCTTTAACTACAATTCAATTGCCTCAATAGACATAAAGCTATCAAGTATTTGAGTGAGTTTTGGTAGTTTGTATCTTTCAAGGAATTTGTTTATTTAACCTAAATTGTGGAATGTACTGGCATGAAATTATTCATAACACTCCTTTTTTTTTTTTATTCTATAGTAATGTTCTCTCATTCCTAGTATTGGTAGTTTTGTCTGCTCTTTTTTTTTTTCTTGATCATTCTGGCTTGAGGTTTATCAATTTCATTTAATTTTTTCCAAAAGACTAGGTTTTTGTTTCATTCATTTTTCTCCATTGTTTTGTTTTTCACTGATTTCTGCTATCTTTAGAATTTCCTCCTTTCTGTGTATTTTGGGTTGAACTTGCTCTTCTTTTCTAGTTTCAAGTGGGAACTTAGATCTTTTAGATCTCTTCCAATTTAAGTGTTCAACACTGTGAATTTCAGCTTATGACTGCTTTAAGTACATCCCACCACTTCCCTTGGGTTTTATTTAGATTAAATGAAATATTTACAGTCAGCCAGGAAAGAAATTGATTGCCTAATCCAGGTCAGGCACCATGCTTGATACTAGGAACATACTGCAGAAGCTAGATGGAACCACTTCTCTCTTTAAACTTAGAAGGTAATACATATTGACAAAATTGGTACAGAATCAATGTAATAATGATTATCTTCTTGATAGTTAGAAAGTATATTAAGCCAGAAAGCATAACATTTTTGTTTTATTCTATTGATCAAATTATCTTAAATTTTTGTCTCTCTACTCATGATCTAGCAAAAAGTAAGTTGCTAGGTATCACAACACATAAATTTATGGTGGAATAAGTTCAATTACTCCATTTGTAACTGAATAAACTACACATTTCAATTTAATATGCTAAAGATAAATAAATATTTCTGTAATTCTAAACTTCAAAACAACCTTTAGATCTATAAAGTTTAAAGCGAGCATTCCATATATTTCCAAATATTTTCTTAAGATGGGTCTTAAAAGTTAAAGCAAGCACTATCTATTCTATCTATTCTATCCTCAGTTTCAAAATACCCAGAACTTAAGGGGAAAAAAAATGCTCTGCCCTCCTCAACTGAATATAAATGCATGACAATCACTGGTTTCAATCTCATTTAAATTCTGACCTATCCTACCAAATACTCATGTTTTCCAAAACACCACTAGTGGGTTATATCAAACACCTACATATAATTAATTCAGACAATAATAGATACAGAAGTTAACTTTACATTTCAATTTGTTCATCCAGTGGGGCAAGACGCAGCTCCGCACACCATGTCAGGTATCCTGGATCTTCCTATGCTTCTTCTTCCAGTCCTCATCTCTCCGTCTTACTTTTAGGACATGGGTTCACGACCTTGACTGAATACTGGGGAGTCTGAAAGTACTGATGCTAAGGTACTACAGCCAGAGATTCTGCTCTAGAGTACTTAAAAGTGAGAATTTTTTCAAGCTCCCCATATGATTAAAGTGCGCAGATGAGGGGTAAGAAGGACCATTCTAGGCTCTTTCCAGGACGGCATGCTTCTAATAGCCATTGGCCATACTTCAGAATCCAGTTTCCTCTGGGGCTTTGCCCATCTAACTCCAAATCAGACACAACTCAGTAATTCCATTCAGATTCCTAAGCTCACCTCTCTCTCATATTCACAAATTCATGGGATAAAATGTGACTTTATTTTAAACATTCCTCCCGAGTACATTTGTAAATATAATTTCATGAAGTTCAGCTGAAGGGAGAAAGCTCCACAAGCCATCTGTAGTTTGGCAGAATAACTGGTAAAATTATCAATTTCCTCAAAGTAAAACATAAATATATAAATAAGTCTTCATTGTTATCCATCTGATTCCACTACTTACTAATTTCAAACAAGTTTCAAACACTGATTCACATTCTGGGCTCAAAACTGACATCCTCTGGGACTTAAACCTTTAAACTCCAGAGGGTTTTCAAACAGCTTACTCACTTTTGCCAAACCAAATCACTTCATTATAATTCTCTTTCATCATGTAAAAGTGAGAACATGCTTATCAGTGTGAGGACTAAGAAGCAATAGCATTTTAGCACTATGTAGTGTTGTAGACATTTTAATTTATTTGCAGCAGAAACTTTGCTTCGTGGGAGCTATGTGAAAAAGTGGAGGCAAGAAGGAAGTTGTGGGTAACTACTTGTCAGTACATGGAAACATCAGCAGGTGAGGCACAGAGAAGGGCTGTGGGCGGGCCGCAAACTACACAGCAGCTCCGGAACCCCTCAGGTCAATAGCAGCAGAACCGCACACTGCCGGACTCCGCACTTCTCAGGCAGAGACTGAACTACCAAGGTTACTACAAACACGTGGCTAAACCTCAGCTCCTAGGAAAACTGCTAAGCAATAAAACTTTGCCAACGTGCAGACCCAGGAACTCCGATCCCTGCCAGTGTAGGTTATGTACCTATGGGATGTAATGGGTATGCATGCTGAAACACGTGTGCAGGTCTGAGCGGCTGAACCAACATGTATCCATAAACATTATGAATAATACTTGCGAGAATGTACGGCTTTCCCCTAAGAAGAGCTTTAAGTACTTTTTACCAAATCAAGTCACTCTCACATCACACCTGCCTTGCCTCTCCTGCGTATTACCCGCATGGTGAGAGTTGGGGAGCCTTACCCAAAGTCTGCGCGGTGTTGGGGAGGGGGAGGGTGTCCATCCCCGCCCCAACTTCCCGTTAGCCCAAGTTGCCATCACTAAAGGGGACCGTGTCCATGCTAGCTTCCTGGAGACACACCTGCACCCTCACACACCCACTGCGGTCGCGTCACCAGGGCCGCGGCCACGCGAGCGAGGACCACCATCTGCAGGGAATTCCCTCCTCCATGGAGCTCCGGGAGAAGATGGGAAAGTGGGACCCACGCGAGTTTTGAGAAGTGGAAAGGGGAGAAGGGATTTTAGAGGACACAGCCGGAGGGGTCACGGCTACTCACCCAGCCCTCGAAGGTGTCCGAGGCGCCCGCCGTGCGCAGCAGCTCCTGGAATTGAAGGGTGCAGTTGGCCACGAAGTGGTCGTAGCCCAGGGGCGTCTCGTGGAAGACGGCCAGCTCGAGGTGGCCTCCGTCGGTGACGTTGGCGCAGAACTCCTCATTGTAGGTGGGTTTGTTGGTCTTCTGCTTGGTGCTGGTCTGGCCCACGCGCACCTGGTCCACGCTCACCGTCAGGTATGGGTCCAGCAGCTGGTAGCCCTTCTTGAAGAGCGAGTGGCGCAGGGACCAACGGGTGGGCTGCAGCCCCACGGCCTCGCCGATGCGGACCCTCAAGTAGCCGTTGAACTTCATGGTGCCAGACGACATGCCGGCGCCGCTGCCCCGGCCCCGGGGGCCCGCGCTGGCTCGCGGCGGGGGAGCCTGGAGCCCCTGCTCAGGCCAGCCCTCGCGGCAGCCGCAGGAGTGGAGGAAGCTCCTGGGAAACGTAGGGCCCGAGCCCCCCACGACCGGCCATTCTGCCCCCTCTGCGGGACCTCCCCTCCCCTCCTTCCCTCCCTCCCTCCCTCGCGAGGTGGAAAGGAGGGGAGCCCGGCGCCGAGCCCTCAGCGGGCTGGGGTAGCCCGACCGCCCCTCTGGAGCGCGCGGCGTTTCTCGAGGGCTCGCCCGGGACTCGCCCCTTCTCCAGGGCCGGGAAGCTCCTCTCCGCGGAGAGCCGGAGCGACCCGTCCGGCCAGCTCCAGCCCCGAGCGTCTCTTGCCCCCGCCTCCTCCTGCTTCTCCTCCTGCCCCCGCCTCCGCGGGCTCACGCTCTCCCCCCGTCGGCGAGCTTCGAACCAGGAAGCAGCTGCCGCCGCATCCCAGGCGGTAGGCTCGCGCAGCCAGGCTCCAGTTCACCGAAACCCCGCGCGGGCTCCCGCGCCGTTCGAACTCCGGGGGCGTGGCGCCCAGCCCGGCCCGGCCCTGCGGTCTGTCAGTGGCGAGGCGCGCGCTGCCGGGGAGCCCACCTCTGCGCGCGCCCTGCTGCCCGGGGCCCGGCGGTGTGCTGTGGGTCAGAGGCTACGCCAGGTGCAGGCCGAAAAGGCAAGGGCTCCTGGCTAGCCCGGGCAAAAACACCTGAGGCACGGCGGACAGGTCCCGGGAGGCTGGAAGGCCAGGAGGGGGTGGAGCAGAGAGCCCGCGCGGCGAGGTGGACTGGTGACCCTACCCGGCCGTCTCCAAGAGGCCCTGGCCGGAGGCGGGCTCACGGCGGGGAGCTTCCTTTCCCTAATCTTTACTGGGATGGCTCATCCCGGGTTCAGCTCGGGCCCATCCTGTTTGTGCGCCTTTCTTGCAGAGAGTAATTACATAGTTGTGTGTTTTGTTTTCTTTTATTTTTTTTTCGATTTAATAAGGCAGTAGTAATGATGGAAATCCTGTCTGCCTCCTTCCCCAGAGAGGTGTGTCTTGTTGCACAAAGAGCAGGAAAGGTCGGTTCTGAAGACAGACGTGGCTGAGGTGTCCCCAGTTTCTTCCTCTGCGCGGAGTGTGGTTCCTGGTCCACGCAGCCCTGCATGGCAAGGGCAGCTGTTGCCCACACACACACTTCACCCATACATGTGCGCAAAGAGATTGCCGTCTTCTAGGAACACTCTGGGAGGTTCCGGGGCTTGCCAGAGTGGGCAGCCTTTTGTTCCTGAGCACCAGTGGCACCGGCAGTTTTGTCCTCTGGGAGAACCTTTTCATCTACTCTGCTCTACACAAAGCTTGCTCCCTGAGGGCCAGCCACACCCATGTGTATCCCATAAAGCCTAGGCCATTTTTAAGATACTTAATTACATTCTGCCTGGCTATCCTGGCTTCCTTGGGAGCAGGTCTTTCTAGCCCCTTCCCCCCAGTGCCCTGTTTGGCACTCTCAAACCAAGTAGGTTCTCAACCATTTCACACGAATGAATGGAGGCATAGGGAAGAGTGAAAACAGGTAAGAACAATGGATCGGTGGGGGAGGGCCTGTCTTAATACCAAAGCTTCCTTAACAGAACAGGGCAGGCAGGCAGCATATCACCCTAATGACACCTTAGCTTTTAGGCAGGGCTTGTACAGCAAGCTCCCAAACATCCAGGGAGCTCCTGTCTGGCCCTGCTGCTGGAGGGGAAGAGGTCAGGGGAACATTTGGGTCAACTATTCACCCTCTCCTCCAAAGAGCAGGGCTCTAGCTTTAAAACCCACTGAAGGATTTGCTGCTGAGAGGCTTTGGCACTTAAAGAAGACAGTTCCCAAACGATGGGCAGCTGCACTGCTGCCCTGGGGTTGGGATGTGGGAGACACCAGACTCTCCATCTTCACTCTATCAGTGCCGGACACAGGTGAGCAGTGGTGACTGAGCAGTGAGGGGGACAGCAGTGGTGTCTGCTCTCCTGGAACTTACAGTCTCCCAGCAAGGAGAAACAACTAGACCACACACTTGGGAGATGCAGTGATGGAGAGGCCTAGGATGCAATGGGATGATGGGACCTGGAGGAAGTGGTCAGGGAAGGGTCTCCAGAAGAAGTACACAGCAGAAGGAGCAGTTTATTCAGGGTTCTTGAGAAAACAGGGTGAGCTCCATGTGGCCTGAGCCAAGAAAGGTGAGGGGAGAGTGGCAGAAATGAGCCTGCAAAGGTAGGTCAGGGTGCAAGACTGCCAGACTGGTAGGTCCTGGGAAAGTTTTTGGCCATTATCTATGGGCAGCTAGAAGCTTCTGAAGACTGTTAAGTAGGGCCAGGACAGGATGAGATTTGTGCTTTAAAATATCTCTCTGGGTTGTGTAAAGAATGGAGAAGACACAAGCATGGGTATAGGGAGACCAGTTAGGAAGCTGTTGCCAAAGTCCAGAGGAGAGGAGGTGGTGGCCGGGACCGAGGTGGCAGTGATGGAGGTGAAAACAAGTAGACGGATGTGAGAGCATTTAGGAGGTAGATTGACAGGTCTCAGGGATAGACTGAATAAAGGGAATGAGGAAGAGGAAAGTATCAAGGATGACTTGCAGGAATCTGGCTTGAGCAGCTGTGTGGACTGGGAAGCCCTGAGTGATTGGAGAACACTAGAGGAGGAACAGCTTTGTGGAGGGAGATGAAGAGTTCAATTTGAAGCATGTCAGGTTTGATATATTTTTGATACGTTTAACTGAAAATCTGAAATGCGCACTCGGCGGTGTGGTTGTGAAGCTCAGAGGAGCAGTCTGAGCTACAGACACAAAATGAAGAGTCACATCATATAGGTAGCAATCAAAGCTAGAAGAATGGACAAGATCTCTGTTAAGTGAAAACAGAGTTTAGCATAAGAAAAGAAGGGGGCCTAGGACAGAGTGCTCCAGAAACTCCAACATCTATAGACTGAGGAGGAGCAGGCAAGGGAGTTGAAAAACAGCAGCCAGGTAGGTGGGAGAAAAGCCAGGAGGGTATGATTTCCAGGTCTTGTGGAAACCAACCAAAAAGGTTTCAAGCAGGAAGAAATTGTTCAGCTAGGTCAAATGATGCTAAGACAGTGAGTAAATAAAGACTAATGAAGGCTATGCGGAGATGGCAATAGACAGGTGCTCAATAATCTTTGAGCCATTTCAGTAGAGGAGTGGGTCTGAAGCCTGCTTGAAATAGGTTAAAGTGAAAAATAAGGAGGTATACAGAGAAACTGTGTACACTCTTTCAAGAGGTTTGGCTGGAAAGGGGAAGAGAGCTGAGAAGAGAGAGCTGTTAGATGGATTCTCGTGATTCTCTAATAAAGGAAGCAGTGCAAGAGAGGAGAGAGATCATACAGTTCAGAGACCGCAGGAGGGGCTGCCATCCAAGACACGGGTAAAGATATAAGCCTTAGGTTAGAAAGAAGCATCTATGTGACTCTCAGCCTGCTGTCCAAAATTGCCTCTGTACAGCCAGGAGAGAGAGTCAACAGCAGCCCCAACTTAACACATTTCTACCTTCAGAGCCCCAGTGGAATGAAGATTTTTTTTCTACCTGCATCTTTAAATCAATCTGGAAGAAGACTCAGTTTTCAGCCTATGTCATATGTCATTAGATGGCTCCTGGGGGACCCTGGACAGGCAGTAGACAGCCCATAGTATAATGTCTCTGTAGAAAGGGACTGTCTGCCAATACAGACCTGTGGCAGCTTTTATCCAGAACTGGTCCTGACTTTTAAGGAAGGAAGGGGAGCAAAAACTCCCTTCTATGCATCCCACATAGCTCACTGATGGCTTGTAGGTAATGCAATATGGCAACTTGCATATCTTTATTGACTGCTTTAAAAATCTGTATTATAGGTCCTTTTATAGACTAAAGGTTTGCTTTTTTTCCCTTACTGCTATTACCGTTTCTTGTCTTAGTCACACTGTAACTTTAGACTTCTCCACATAGAATTCCTAGTACATTATCTAAATGCTTTTTTGATCGACTGATTGACAGCCTGAAGCACTGCCATTTTTCTAATTTCTTAAGGAACATTTCACACAACCCCCAATCTACTTTGAAATAGAATTAGAGAATTTAGAGAATAACACAGCCAAGTCAAAAGCTATCCCATGTTACTGTGAAACAGCACAGCCTTGGAGGACAGTTTGACAACGTATATCAAAAGACTCAAAGTAAGAAATCAGTTATTTGCCTGAAGAACTCCAGAAATAGTGAAATGGCAAAGTAGATTACAAAATTGCAACTCAGGGGAATAGTAGGCAGTTATTAAAATGACATATAATAAATAACATGAAAAAAAGGATGGTAAGTAATATTAAAAAATCTAAGTAAGAAATATAAATATACTTTGAGTACATAAAATAGGTATACCAAAAGACAAAGATTAAGTGCAATACAGGGATATGAAAACAATTCTTCGACTGCAAGTAAATAATAAACATACTTATCTAAAAGGTCTCTAAAGATAAAATAATTCACATAAACCATTTGATACATTGCCAAGCACATGGTACATTTCAGCTGTTACCCTGGCTGCCACGCACCAGTATTGTAACAAGGCACTTGATAAATATTATTGCATTCAATCCTCATGACAACCGTGAGATAAGTGTTGCTATCTCTATTTTACGAATAAGGAAACCCATGGGCAGAAAGGCTCAATGAATTGGATCACATAGTTACTACATAGAAGAGCTGAGATTTGACCCATTTTTTTAAATGACTGCCTAAGCCTCATCCTAGAGTGGTTCTATGCACAGTAGAATTGAAATCTAGTGCTGTACATGGAGGACAAGGAGGAAGATCGAGATTCTCAGCAGCGGGAAGGAGTGGTATGCAGGGCAGAAATTAGCGCAGTACTGTTTCTTATCCATTTCTAAATAGGCAAAGTACATATAGATAAGTGGGGCCACCATGTCCTACTCACAGGTGCTCCAAAAAGAACAGGAAAAGGTATTTCACAAACGTGACAACATTTCTCAGAAGGGAAGGAAAACACTAGCTTCATTTTGAAAAGAACACAGTATATTAGGCCAAATGAGTAAAAAGAGACTCATGCCTAGACGCATTATTGTGAAGTTCCTGAACTTCAGGATAAAGGGAAGATCTTCAATGACTTAGAGGAAGAAACAAGAGACAAAGGAGGGTGGGAGATTATGGGATGTGATCAGAGGATTGAGGTCTGCAGTGAGGTAAAGGTTGCTGA